TATACATTGCACCCGTGCTTAGTCGGGGCTGATCGCTAGTAGTTCTATATATTTCTTAACTAATTCGTTATCGCTATTTGAGCACCTCCGTTCCTCTGAAGGTGTCGGTGTTTCTGAAAATAGACTGATATATGGCTAGGGGATGACTACATACAAAATCCTAGTGGTTATCTTTATGAGTAGCCGTATCGGTTTTAACGAATGGCTTGTAATTCTAAAGTAATTTAAAAGTTTTTCATTTTAACTTTATAATTAATCATATGTCATAAATAACCTCATTTCAAGATTTTGAGGAATTAGTAAAAGAAATTTGTAAAATTTGTATATTAAATTCGTCTCTTTGAAAGTTGACATTACTTTGAAGATCGAAGCTTTCGTTTGCAATATTCTAAAAACTTTTCATTTGATAGACTATTTCTACAAAAACTAGATTAACTTTATTGTTAAAATAAAAAATATACGTTTCACTTAAAGCAACAGGGGAAGGCCATAATTGCATAGTCGACAAACAAAAGATTAGAATCGTTAATGTTCAAGAACTTACGTATAATAAGAGTTGAAACAGAATATTATTTTACTATGTAATTATTATTCATATTGTTTAATATACAGTTTAAAGACAATAGCAGCTTCACATTGATAGAGCTTTATTCCTTTGTTTTATATCTTATACATAAAATTCTCGTGTCACAATGTTAGTTACCATACTCCTCCGAAACGGCTTGACCGATTTTTATGAAATTTTGAGTGCACATCGGGTAGGTCTGAGAATCGGCCAACATCTATTTTTCATATCCCTAAATGATAAGGGTGACTTACCCCTAAATTTTTTTTTCAATATTTCCTAGAAATAACGTGTATGGCAAAACAACGTTTGCCGGGTCAGCTAGTATATATATATTTATCTTTTACGATTTTATTGCGAGTTATATATCTTGTAATTGTTCAATAGCGTTTATTTCAGATTACGGGTTGTTACTTACTCTGTTGAAACTTCGATTGTTTGATCCGTAAATCAATATTCAAATTATTTACAATAAACATACATTGCTGTTCTGTGACTTTCTGTACGATATCACAAAACATGTTTTGTTATATATTTCTTCATTCTTTAAAGACGCATTCGGTTGTGTTTACCAGGTACTGATAATATTATAGGTTATTAACAAAATTCAAAAATTAATTCAATTCCGACTAACAAAAAAATAAACGATAAATAATGAAAAAGGAACTGAGAGTGACAAATAGATTTACTTCAAGTCCATATTACTTGTATTACATAAACCATTAGTGATCATAATAATACCATAACTCTATTGACTTTGGAAATATCAATAGATATAACAATATCCTTCTATCACAATCTGGCTCACATAGAAATTTCAGGTTAAAATATAACAATGAAAAAAAGGTTTGTGTCACAACAGTATTTTTCGTGGGGACATCACGCAAAACGTAAATTAGCTTCTATAATATTACGGGGAAATGTAATTGTATCATCTACATTAACTGTTTCCGTAGTAGCACTTGATAACGTAATATAATATAATATAATTTATATTTTACAAGACTAGAGTTGACCGAATCACGAATGTTGCATGCAGATGTCCGCTATTACTCATTGCGAATGATAATAGAGATCCCGTCAGTCGGTAGTAAACTTATGATGTTTCTCACATAAAATCTCAGCAGATTTTACGCTAAACGAAATGTGTATGACTTTGTCTTTGTCGTTTTCAGTAACTGAATATGTAAATATTTATTAATATACATTATCATAACAAATAACTAACATAACTTTCGGTATAATTGTTTTCTTCCAATTTCGTGTATTTTTCTACGCATATTTTAACTGAAGTTAGAATCATGTTAAAAATGTAAAGTGAGAATTTATTTTCAATTAATATATAACACTTAAGTATACTTTCGACTGCGCTTCCCCATTATTGTATAAGGCCGAAGTAGTCTATTCCTGTATATAACACATAACATTGGTCTAACTCCGGGAAGCTTGCTTGGATAGGGTTTATGGGGTACTATTGCAATGTCCTTATGTTTAATAAATGCCCGAATAATACAGGCTGTTACTAAATCTGTAGAATTTTCTAAAAGGTATTTAGAAAATAAACGGTTTAGATTTATAGTAACTTCCTTCATGATTTAAACGTAGGATATAATATTAAGTGTTGGTTAAAAATTTGCAATATTCTCGTTTTTAAAAATAGTTAAAAATAATGCAGGTTACTGTAGAGTAACCTCCTACTTGATCTACGGTTCATACAGTAAGTACATCTAACGTACGCATAAAGTACAATCTAAAAATTTCAGTCATATTGCTCAGAAAATGTATTTTATTACATTAATATTTTTTTAATTTTTTAGTTTCATTTTTAAAACTATCGGAAGTAAATGAATTTATAGTTGAAAGTAGATAAAGATTGCAGTATCTCGGAAATCATTTTTATGAAATATATTTCAGTAACGAAGTTTGTTTAAATTTGCAGTCAAAAATATTATAATATTGATATTGTATTTGGTAGAGTATGGAAAGAAAGGTTTGACTTAATTTTGAAGTTATTATGCCAAGAAAGAAAGTTAAGAAATAAAAAAATGATATTATTTTTTTTGGGTGTCGTAACTGCCACGGGCGTAACCATCACACCTTGCCAAACGGTAACCTGGTGTATCGAACTCGAAATGATAAACACCACACAGTGTTAGTCATCAGATCTATGACAGATGATGGTTAAACTTATGTGTGATGCTTTTAACTGTGACTGTAATAAGTGTTTACGTAGAAACGTACAATGTATGAAAATTAAAATTTCAACTTTAAATAATATATAGCCGCATGTAGATTGAAAAAAATAGGAACACTTTGTGAAATACGTTTAAGAAATTGGAACATGCCATTTATGTAAAGTTGGTCGTCGTTTGTGAAATGATTTCTAAATTAGTAATCAAAGGAAAATGTGTTTTTTTTTTCAACGTAAATATTTATTAATAAATTAATTAATAATTCTATTGAAGTATTTAATAATAAATTATTTTTAATTAGTTTTTTTTTCACTTTATAATTTAACGCAACAACTAACAAGATCAGTGATTAAATGAATAAATGAAAGAGAGTAAATAAGTAGAATACAAATTATTTTCAATTTATAATATACACTAGCTACCCGTCCCGGCTTCGCACGGGTGCAATTATAAGAAATAAAAAATAGTCCACAGCACTCAGGGATAATATACCTTTCTAATAGTGAAATAATTTTTAATATTAAAATATGTGTTAGCATGGTAATAAGTGTTATTGTTGTATTCGTGCGTGTGTCCCATGGGCACCTGTACTTGATAACCTATGTATTATCGATAACCATTTATTATAGTGTTATCTTTATGACAATAAACAATGTTAATATTTTTAATAGCCATGTTCTCATGGAAGTGATGTAAATTTTATATGAAAATAAATGTCTTTAAACCTAAATCGGATCAGTAGTACCGGACATTACCCCAAACATACAAACTAACTAACTTCTTTATAAGATTAATATAGATTATGTTTATTAGTATGATCATCATCTTAGATATGGTAGCATTTTTTTGGATATTTGTAAATTTTATGAAATATGTCTGGAAATTATTTGTATTATTTTGAGTACTCAACGCTATTTTGACACTTTCTGTTCTTTTTTGTGGCGAATCAACTTAAACTTACACTTTTATTAAGCTTCATAGTTTAAGACAACGAAATAATGTACGTTGCAACCATAAATTTTAGTGTAGATTACCTACAGGTGTCATTATGCCGCTGCTCTCATACCATTCGATTTTTAGTTTTAGTAATAACTTATCCCCTTTACTTTATTTAAGGTCTTTTTTTTAAATTTTACTATTTTGTTTGATTGTAGACCATACAATTTGAATCGAAACTAACTTACCATATTTAAAAATAAATTAAGTTTACTGAAATAAATTTATATTTATAAATCTAGTATTCAAGTAGGTTTTTACAATTTTATAATATGATTATGTATTTTTTCAGGCATAAAAAATCATTTTATGTATGTTATGAATATATATAATATAAAAAAATCTTTGTTAAAAAAATCGTAGTCATAAAAATTTGGATACTAAAAATTAAAATAAATTCATTTTATAATATTTATTTTAAACCTTGTCATTAGAACAACTTTTGCGAAGTCCTAAAACTTACGCGGATGCAATACCGCGCTTATTTTGTTCCGAAAGCTGAAATTGTGCCAAAACTTCTCGCAGATCTAAATCTCTTACACGAGAAATATTTTTAAAACCATTATAAGCTAAAACTAATGTTTCAGTAAATATAAGCACTAAAAAAAAATCTATAAATTGTACTTTTTTTACAAATCACAGACCGACTAATTTAAGAAAAAAGTAGGTAAACTTGAACCGTTCACAGCTAATTTCACCGTTACATGCGATTCCACAATTTTATTTCCAGCTATTAGTGTAGCGACTCTTATCTTATCGCAATATTTAGGCATGAAAACAAAATTTTGTAGTTGTTATTAGTCAGTTTGGATCCGTTTGCGCCAAACAAAATAGCAAAGCGAAGATTTGTATTTTGAATGTCTGTATGAATATAACAGGTCGATTGATCTGTTTGTTGTTTTTAGTGAGGGTCGAGAGGAGCGGGAGAGGGAGCGACACGACGGCGCCGCCCGGCCGATAGGAACCACTTGCGGCTGGGGCAATGTGCATCCGACGCCGCGCGCACTCTTCAACTTTACCAAACTTTGCTCTCCCGAAATAAACTTTTTGTAATGTGCGTCATGAAACACTAAAACCGGCTGCACTCTCGGACCGGTGCACAGATGTTGCAAACAGGCTACTAACCCTGATTGTTGTGCAGGTCGGGTCCGACTCGTGAATGGGCTGCGGGAGAACTGACGCGGTCGCGATAGGAAGCACTGACTTTAACACTTTGGACATGTAAAGTGGAGCGGACACGCGAGTATTTAGTCGCGCGGCGCGGGCCGGCGTCGGCGCGGTCGGAGCGGCGGCGGCGCGGAATGTGCGGCGGACGGTACGCGAGCGACGAGCGATGAGCGACGGTGCCGCTGGGAGTGTGGCCGCCGGCGCCGCGGCACCGCGCGCCCGCCGGCCGGGGGCAGGTTCGCGCACGCGTCGCCCGCCCAAGCGCCCGCCCCCCGCATCGACCGCCACCACCCACCCCCGCCCACCACCCCCGACGCCCGACCGACTGTTTTTCTCTCGGCACCCGACCGGGGGACGCACCTGATTTTTTCCGTGATATTTTTTCCTCCCTTCTCTTCGCGACGCGATCCGTTCGCTTTCATTACGGTTTCGAGTTTGATTTATCACCGCGGCGGCTCTGAAATATTCTTACGATGGAACTTGGTGTCGAACGCTCACCTACTAATTAGCATCGATTGATCGTAATAACTAAACACTTTATCACCAGCACGCACGATAATAATACCTAGTTAAAAGCATAGTTACCAATATTTGTTTATGGCAAAAATACGATTAGAATATAATATATAATAAAAATAATATTATTTATAAGTAAAATACAAGGTACTTAAAAACTTTAGTAACTAAATGTTTTGTCTAAAATAGTCCCTAATGGAAAAAGTAACGCTACCTTAATACAAATTACTCTGACATATATAAAATTTGTTTTAAAATCCGAACATAATATGTTAATGAATAATCAATAAAACCTTAACTTCATTTTAAATTCTTCAAGGGCATAGCAACAAAACTAACAACTAAATACACGCTCGTAGCCTGCAAGCCTGTCGTAGCACGTGTCTACGGCGTAGTTCAACCGCCTACGCCAGGCTTCGGTTTCCGAACGCAAGCCCGCGACCCTAGCGATTAGTATTCGCAGTCCACTCGTGTCCTGCATACCCTCAAAAACTTAACATATTTGGCCGCGATTCAAATTTAATGTTTTCATATTTGTGTCATAACTTTCGGTAAAGAGGAAAACAAAAATTACTCCTGCGTACATAAGAAAGGAGTTATTTGTAAACGGTTGACGTCTTGGCATTTTTGTATAAAGTGCGCCAACCGCTGTTCCATTTTGAAATTGTTTAGGCAGATGATATGCGATTTTGTGTTATACTTTATACGGAGAGAATACTATTGTAGTGCGAGACAAAATTGTGGAAAATGTATCCATCATATGCGTTGCAATAAAAGTTGTAAGACACTGACGAATGTAATATGGAGTTGAAACATACAACTTGGCCTTTGAAACATTGTATTATTTTACAATAAGTTGGAGTACTCGAGCTATTCAAAACTCGGTATAAAGCAATATCTCTCACAAATATGTCACATACAATGCTCTGTATTTCTTCCGAAAGTTTTAATGTGTGAAAAATAAATAGTGAGTTATTAATCTTTAATTATAAATGGCTTCTCATTTTCTTTTATTTAATTTCTTTTTTCTTTAAAAATATCAATTTAATTTTTTTACAAGCTAAGATTTATTTCATATTATATTAAAAACGGAAGATAGTTAAATCTTTTCATTTTGAATAAGCTTAAACACACTTACAAAGCATAAAAGTTGTATGAGTTTAATTTTCTATCATCGAATCGATTAGGTTTAAAAATTGATAACTATACAAACTTAATTAATGGATAAGATTTCAGTAATAATGAGTTCATAGAAGATGTATATTAAAAATGCAACTAAGTTATTTGGATCCGTTAAAATTTAGACTATTTTTTTTTAAGATATACTTTATTTATTTAAACTTCATTTTTATTACGATGTAAACTAACGTGAAGTTTTTAATTTTAAGATCATTACAACCAGGTTATATCTTACAGGTATTTAAACGCACGCACATTTTCTTCTGACACACAATTGTGTTCAGCACTCATAAGAGGCGTCGGCGCCGCGCCGTCTACTGTGTCAGTCTAGCAGCTTAAGTAAGCGTAGGAGGTACAGTCCCTTGCATATTTTACCACGAACACTAGGCGGCAAAAAGAAGTGTTAATGTTTTTCTTGTAAAGAATTATTTTTAAATGTCCAAATATGTTACAGTTTGTTTGGTAAATAATTTGGGAATCAAACACCACTTTAACATTAATTTTACAAGTCAATATATTTTTTAAGTAAAAGTAAAATCTAAAACAACTGAAAAAGGCTTCAATCACATCAATATAATTCATTTGTAGTTTGTAGCAACAAGCTAACAAAAACATAGACTCGGTTTAATACAAGGCAGATCTCCCTCTATATAAAATTAACACTCACTAAAATGTACTTACGCGATTTATATTCTAGTCTATTCTAGTCTAGACTATAAATTATATAGAATATAATGCAGTAAATAGTATCAGATTTCACTGAAAGTGCCTAATTTTTTTCTATGCGACTGATACAATTCTACAAATATGTAAAATGTTTTACAGTACCTTAAAAACTAATGTTATGTTATGTATCTTTTTTGAGTTAAAAAAATACATAATCTATTTTGACTTTATCTCTAGACAACACACTTTTCGTTCCAAACTCAGTCAAATGCATCTCCTTATTGATCGTATTTGCTCACATTCACTATCGAATCAACTTAACACAAAACACACGTCAAAATTATAATACAATGGTATTAATTAAAAATATGTTTCACAAACACTTTTTACAACGCACAACATGCCTCTCAACGGTTGAAATTAAAAATAATCGTTGCCGAGACACGGAAGCATGGATATGAAAAATAATAGCCACGTCTACCTGTAGGCCGGATACGCGGGCCCGATTAAACGTACATGGCTTAAATCTAAGTGCTTCTAGTTTTTATACGTTGTACATGTTGTAGGGGGAAAGTTATTTTGTGTTTACTTACGGCGGGCCCCTTAGGAGACAGACGGTGATCAAACCTAAGGGGTATATCTAAAGAATAACAGTAGGCACCTATAGTTGAGTAAAGTACTACGTTTTAATATGAGGTTAGGGATCCAAACTAATATTTTTTATTACAAATTTAACTTTGCTGTCTATTATTTTATTTAGGGTTTATTTTTGATTCCTTAGGTATGTTCCTTTAAAAAATAATGAAATAGGTGAAACGATTACTGGTAATCTGAGAATGATAAGAGGCATCGATAAATCGATACCTTTGCGAGTGAAGTCACCGGTATAAGTTATAACAGAATTAAATACAATAATTCTGTATATTTGAAATGTTAGATTTTTATTTAAACTAAAGAATCATATTGATTTCTTAAAGAAAAAAGATTTCTATTATATATATAAAACAAACCTACCAAAATATTAAACATTAATACCTATATCGGTGCATACTCAATTTTTCTTTACCCGACTGATTTCTAGGTGCTATATTATTTATTTATTTATACAGCAATCGCACGGGAAGCCGAGATATGAAAAATAATAGCTTACTACCTGAGATTGGGGTAGAAGGTTCGCAATTATACCTGTAACTGTAATATCGCTTCAGTTTTGTAGATACAATATTACAAGATTCTTTGAATAAAATATTGAACGTATAATTATGAAATCATGGTGGATATTTGGCAGATTTTATATCAGAATAGGTTCATGTTGGCTAATAATAATCTGTAACTGATATTGAAAACTAATAGTATTGATATATAGAAATTATAATTTCAAAGAAATACGTAAAAATATGAACTCTATATAAAAAACAAAGTTGGTAATTCGTTTGCATTATAGGTATAATATATTGTGCAGCCATTTATGTTAAATATTTTTTCCTAATACATATAACAGTGATAATACTTCTCGTTAACTACCTTTGAATAAAAATATATGTATGTGGTTCTACCTACTATAATACATTTACTGAAATAGATTATTTATCTCTGAATTGAGTTAGTTTATCAACTCTATATGTATGAGGTTGCATCTTGTTCATCGTCTAGCACAATCATACGTATCTACTGATTATTGTAAGGAAGAAAATCTCAATTCGAATTAATATTTTTATGTGTGTGTTTTACGCAATATATTCATTTTTAAACTATTTTTTTTCACTTAAGGTTGGTCTTCATCTTCATCCTTAAAATCATAGCACATTACGAGTCTATTAAAATTTACCACGATTTGTGTGCATGGATGTCAGTAATACATTTTAAGAGTAAATTATTTCCATTTAAGTTATTCTGTATGTTCAATAATTCTGTCATTTTTTGTGACTTAAAAACAATTTCAATTAATACGAAAATAAATAAAAATACTTATGATCACGCTCTTACAGAAGCTTAGAACTTGCGTTGTTAACTATTACTGTCCTATGATATAATGAAGCAAGATTGAGCAAAATTCTTTCTACAATGTATTTCAGATACCATAAAATATGACGTTTAAAAATTATCATGATAAGCGTGGCATATACTCGTAATAACTAAGTTTCAATAAAATGTAATATTGCTAGGATCTTAAAATAAGATTTCTTCCATAAGGGTCACTAATATAGACATTCTATAAACAGGCTATTGTCTTCTACAATTCAATAAGGGAATGGTGTAGTAACTTGAGTTATTCATACAATTCGCAGACAGACAACAATTGTTTTATTGAAATGCTATATACAATAAAGATATTACACAATATAATCATTGAAAGTCTTCAATTTAAGTTAAATTTGTTTTAAACTAGTTGTACCAAACTTCGCTGTGGTACATTATAGTAGCATTGATGACAAATAAGGAACAAAACTAACACTCCAGAACTCTCAGAGTTTTTGAAGCGTCAACAAACCAACTTGACATTTTGATATATTTAAAGATATTAATGATACTATATGCAATATGTTACTTCCTTTTTCTTTAAACTATTTGTTTCATAGATAAAGGAGATCATTGCTGTAATTAATCTATATTAATATAGAATTAAAATAAAAACCTATTATAAAAATACTTATATTCAAATTTATCTCCTAATTGACCCTGGCTATTATCGTTAAGAACTAATACATTTATTTTACAGTAAATATAAATGAAAAGAAAAAACAATCTATTAAATTGGTCAGTAAAGACTATAAAGAAACAGCGTGAAGGTCTATGGACCTCCGGTCGGAACGAAGTTCCTTTCTCAGATAAATTATCAAGTAGGCCCAGCACAGCAGCATACGCAGTAAGAAAAATTCGAGACTTGACTGATGTTGATACAGCACGAGTTGTTTACTTCAGTTATTTTAGGATAGTATAGCATAATGTCGTATGGTATTCTACTGTGCGAGAATGCTACCGACATTCAAACTATTTTTGTGCTACAGGAGAGAGCAATTCGAGCAATTTATAATTTAGGCAATCGTTGTTCATTGAGGCA